ATAATAATAAAGTTGCGCAAATGTGTAGTTATTTTTTTTAAGTTAAAATAAACAGAATTAATAGATTTAGTAGGCAATAGTAAATATTTATTAAATGAAGTAATTTTTATGTAGTTTTGTAGTGCTAAAGTCGCATTCATATTAATTTTAAAAATGAAAATTAAAAAGTGTTGCATTCTTTCATGATGCAGAAGAACAAGAAATAGAGAAAGGCATCTTCATCAGTTAATCATTTTCTATATTTTTTTTCTCGTTATTTTGTTACATTATTACTTTTAGTTTAGCGTTTACCTTTCAATCAATCAATCAATCAATCAATCAATCAATCAATCAATCAATCAATCAATCAATTAGCTTATAAAGCGCTATTTCCGCGATGTTCAACAGCGCTCCTCAATGAATTTTGAAAACAGATGGGTCTTGAGATCCGCTCTGAACTTCGCAAGTGATGGAGAAGTAGTCAGAGAAGTAGGTAGAGAGTTCCAGAGAAGAGTCATTAATTTTTAATGAACATTTTGAATCACTAGATAATTTATTCACTAAAGTTTTTTTAAATATAACTTTTTCCAATTGAATTTGAGTGTTAAATTTGAAAAATTTCATCTTATTGGTTATTATGGTTAACTGTTATATTTGGTTTTCAGACTATATGAAAAAGTTAGAGAGTCAGCATGTGAAAACTTTCCTAAAGTTTCTACTTTTTCCTTAAATGTAACGGTATATATGTTATAAGACAGAGCATTTCATGTTGTCAATCATTAATCATTATTTTTTATTATATAGCCAAATGCAAAGAGAAGACTCTTATTTAGCAGTCATAATATTAGTGTCACTGTGAGTTTTCTTGTTAATTGTGTTATGAAACTATTTGTCAAATTATTTTATTGAACATTCACAATGTGAAATAACTTATTTGAAAATGTAATATAAATTTTAAAAAAATTGAATAAACTTTCTTAGGAATCAGTTGTTAGAATTTTTGATTCATCTATTGTTGTTTGTTCAAGCCAAGAAAGTATATGCTTAATCTTAGATTGTTCTTTGATCAATCATAATAAATTAACCAAAATTTTATTTCAGAATAAAAATACAACATCATAAAGAACCAAAAAAGTCCCTAGATTTAATAAATCAATTATTTATCATGTTAGTTAATTTTTATTTTTCATTATACCAAAAGAAACCTAATTTGTTCTTAAATTTCAGGATCACAAATACTGCATGACACCAAATAAATTGTCAAAAAAGTTGAAAAAAAAACAAAAATAATTTTAAAAGAAGTTAAATCTAAGTATATCAATTTAAAACAAAGTCATACTAGAATGGCTCTTGAATACTAAAAAGTTTTGCAGGAATTAAAAGATAAAAATTTGACGAATGAAACACTTGCACAGAGATTGTCATTCTACACAGGTATTTTATTTTTATATTAAATCAATGTTAAAAAGCATTATTAACTTAATAGAGTCAAAATTTTATCAATAAATCTTCGTTTAGCGTCCAGAGATCCAGTTTTCCGAGGTAGGACGTTGTTTTCTTTGCCATAAACTTTTTGTGCCAAATTAGACGATCAGTTGTATCCATTTCATTTAAATTTAGAGCTTTCATGTCTCGCTCGATTGTTTGCGACCAGGACTTCTTTGGACGGCCTTTGGGACGTGTGCCAGGTACTTCAACATCTGCAAGAGAAGTTATGGCACTGTTTCCACTTCGTTTGACATGACCAAACCATCTCAGACGGTGTTGCCGCATTCGTTGAAGTTGTTCCAGTTTGGTTGTCATTGGCCATGTTTCTGCACCATATAACAACACCGGACGTATCACAGATTTATAAAGTCTTGATCGTAGTGGTAGTGGGATGTCACGCCGCATCAATATAGAGGCAAGGAGATGCCATTTATTCCAGGCTGCACGTATGCGTGCTCGAACGTCAGCTTCAGCTGTTCCAATACAATCTAGAACATCCCCTAGATATTGCAACGATGTGACTTTCTCAACCTTAATGGCTTCAAAAACATTGCTATTTCGAATTTGTTGTTGTGGATTGATGCAAGCAGGACAAACAAAATTGGACACTTTAGATAAAGTACCAATAATTTTTGAACAACGTTTGTGACATCACTGGTTACACTGCTGACACTTGATTGAATTGTTACCTACACCAGCTTTACAAAGTAAACAGGGCCATCGTCCAGTAGCTGTGGATTGGATTGGTTCGCCAGTGTTCATTGCTTTGGTTTTGCTGATGTTAACTTTGAATCCATGATCGGCGAGTCTGGTGTTCCAATCTTCAAACATCTGAGCTGCATTCTGCTCAGACGTGGCTGTTTAAACGATATCATCAGCATATATTAGATTCCAAATGTCAATGTCAGAGTCACAATTTTATACATTGCAAAAAGGCCTTATAAAAAAGGCAAATATTTTTCTGGCGAAGAGAGGAGTTTTTCTCTTACTCTCCATCTTTATGGACCAAAAGCCATGAATTTTTAAGATCAATGGGTCCTCGCTTGCCACATTGTATAACCATGAGTAAGTAAACAATTTTTTTTTATAAATTTATATAAATTTGTATTATTAATGAAATTGAAGATTATTGGACAGTTAAATTGTTAGATGGCTGGAAAAGCTGAATGCCTCTCCTGGCATAAATATGCAAATTTTCAAATTATTGAAAGCAAAAGTTGAACAACAGCCATTTTCATTTTGCCTGTCATATGCTGAAGGTCATGTACAGCACAAAAACAAATGATTGATCAAATGCAATTCTAATTTTCAAGTTGTTTGTGAACGAACAAAATGTTTTTTGATTTAATTATTGTTTCAAAAATGATTGTTCAACTTTATTGAAGGTTATGCGAAACACATTAGCCTCATATCAACAACTGTATTCCAAGAAGAGGGTTGCATTAATTGCTAATTTGTTGAAAAACTACATAACCTCCAGTCTGCAACATGTTTTCGATTGGCCGACAAATTAACCAATCTATTTCAAAAAATTGATCATAAAAGTAAATAAATATATGATTCAATCTTTTTTTTAAGTTTTCGGTGTCAATTTGAAATGATCAACACATTAAATTTAATTAACAGGTAAATTTAACAGCAAAGGTACTAAGCAGGTCTGTTGTCTTAGCTTTACAGACACTGGTGTATAGTAAATGTCCTGAATTTGTAGGAGCTAAGGCAACAATAGAATTTATACAAAATACCAATAATTTATTTGATATTATGAACTCTTAGAAGTCCAAATGGAAGCTATTTTCAAAGAGCCATAAATCAAAATAATTTTGATGAGATTAAAATTATTTTGCTGTCATTAAAACATTATTTTTTGTCCCTCAAGTTAAGAGATGGTCGCTTTCTTTACAGTACCGGCAAGTAAATTTAGCATTAAAAGTTATTAGACTTACATGTAAATTTGCTTCTTTTTTGAAGACAAACATGTGTCACGGGTTTTGTGACC